GTTTGATTCGGGGGGGGCTGAGGCTGAGTGAAAGAGGGTCTACCCTAGCAAAACCTTTTGTATCATTACCCATACCCCCATGCATATGAGATATATTATATGAATGAACATTTTATATCGTTACCCCAATACCCCCCCAGCCCCCCCCCCCCCCCGGCTACATGCCTGCTTCAGCAGGAAGCTAAAAGGGCACCCCATGCAGACATGCAGGCAACTGATTGGAGATTTCTATGGACAACAGGCTCCTTGGCATGGAAAAATGGAACAAGCGCACCTCCCCATGGCCAGAGTTGAGCTTCGCCTCCAGACACCGGAGATGAAAAAGGCGAAGGCCTTTACTTTTCTCTGTGTATTGCATGTCATTGTATTCACTGTGTAAAAGGCATTGAATGTTTGCCTTGTATTAGTAATGTAATCCACTCTGAGTTCCTCCGGGGAGATAAAGCAGAATATAAATAAAGTGTATTTTTATTAATTTGACTGACGATAGTACAGTAGAGTCTCGCTTATCCAACCTTCACTCATCCAACATTCTGTATTATCCAATGCAGCCTGCCTCCCACCCAGAAGAATGCCCAGGCTGGGAGAAAAAAAGAACCCTTATCTGTTTTGGTGCTAAATTCATAAATACAGTAATCACTACATAATGTTACTGTATAGTGAACTGCTTTTTCTGTTGATTTGTTGTAAAACATGATGTTTTGGTGTTTAATTTGTAAAATCATAATGTAATTTGAGGTTTAATAGACTTTTCCTTAATCCCTCCTTATTATCCCACATTTTTGCTTATCCAACATTCTGCCAGCCCGTTTATGTTGGATAAGAGAGACTCTACTGTACTATGAATTATTTAAATTACTTAATTTAAAATATCATTAAAATAATACACAATGGTAGACTTACTGTAGTATACATTCCAAGTTACAAGTGTCTAGGGTTCATGATCTTGGAACTATAGCTGTGTCTAGGAGATACTCTTTTTATTATTATTTTAGAAGTAACAGAAGCACTCCCCTTTGCTTAGTCCTCCTCTAACAAGGGGTTCTTTCTTTCCCCCATCTCTCCATCCCAGAAACCTTCTCCCTCACTTTATCCCAATGTTATTTTCTTTCCCATAAAGGCCCCTTCACACACCTGAATAAAATCCCGCATTATCTGCTTTGAAGTGGAACCTATGGCAGTGTGGACTCAGATAACCCAGTTCAAAGCATATATTGTGGATTTTCTGCCTTGATATTCTGGGATATAGGGTTGTGTGTAAGGGCCCTAAGACAAGTGTTCCTACAGTAATAGAATTCTTCTCAATTCTTACCCACCCAGATGTTCTGCTGTTACTTCTCCATCTCCAGTTTTTTTTTTCCCTTTCCTTATTATCCTACATAAGTGACATTTTTCTCCCTGGACTAGTAATCTTTCACACTGGCTGTCTTGAGTTACACTCACATATATATCATAAACATTGTGACCCAATGTGGTGTAGCAAATTGGGCATTGTACTAGATTTTGGAGACCAGGGTTTGATTCATTGCTTGGTCATGGAAACTCACTGGGGTCGCTTCCCACAGCTCAATAAAATGCCACATTTTCTGCTTTGAACTGGAATATATGGCAGTATAGACTCAAATAACCCAGTTCAAAGCAGATATTGTGGGATTTTCTGCCTTGATATTTTGGGTTATATGGCTGTGTGGAAGGGCCCTGGGTGACCTCTGGTGAGTCAGAGTCTCAGCCCTCAGAGGACACCAAATCCCTTCTGAACAAATATCGCCAAAGAAATCCCATGATAGGTTTGCCTCAGGCTCACCATAAGTTGAATGTACACAACAGCAACAACAGTCTGGATTTCTTTTTTTTTAAGTAAAAAAAGAAGGGAGGGGAGTCAAAATAATGGCCAATTTCATTCACCACAAAGCTTCAATTTTGCCCATCACCCTTTAAGCAACTCTGACCATTTATGGCAGTGAATAACATTGGAACCTATGAGAAATGATCTGACCAGCTTGCTACAATAATTTGTCACTTATGAGCTGACATAATTGGTGACTTATTTGAGCTTCATTTCTCTTGATGTCCCCTGTTTCTTCATCCTCAGGGCAGGACATATGTAAGTTGATTTAAATTGCTTACAGCAATGGTTCTCAAACATTATGCTCAGAAAATCTGGAATTCCTTTGGTTCATGTCAATGTCTGTCAGATTCAACAAGATGTTGAAGATCTGTTCTGACTAGGTCTTCCATGTGACTTTTAAAAAATCAGCTACAGAATAGTCCCAAATTACATTATGTTCATGCTGTGTATGTGGGTGAACTCATAATATGGCAAATATCAGGAAATTGGCATGAGTTGAAACATTAACCCCTATCCCCAATCAGGAAAGGGCTTTCCTTAATGTTCTGCATTACTCTTATTTGTCATTTATGGTGTCTGGTTGCCACTAAAATAGAGAGATTTCCATATTTGCTAGGTTACAGAATTGCCAAAAAACCTGGTAACCCCCCCCCCCAGCACACACACACTTATTATAATCCAAGAATACATCTTTCTAGAAATGTCTAGGTCCTTCAACAGAAGTTGGCCATAAAACTATGCTGAAGGACCTACAAATGACTAAAGAGGTTTTCTTCCATCGGATGTTGACCATCAAGTCATACTTGAGCACCTAGAGATAATACATTAATTGTATCTAGGAATAATCAAATCCACAAAAATCAAGTTATTTTGCCCAGGAGCCATTCCTGAGTCTATCAGATCTTTTAAATCAGTGGTTCTTAACCTGATCCCTGGCCTGCAACTCCCAGAAATCCCAGCCAGTTTACCAGCTATTAGGATTTCTGGGAGTTGAGGGCCAAAACATCTGGGGACCCACTGGTTGAGAACCATTGTTCTAGATCAAAAGTCTGTTTTCTATGCATTTACACACATCTATTATGAACACACATCTATTATGAAGGCACAGCCTTCTTGACTTCTTTGGGCCCTTCCACTCAACCACATAATCCAGAATATCAAGGCAGATAATCCACAATATCTTCTTTGAATGGGGTTACCTGAGTCCACACTGCCATATAATCTAATTCAATGTGGATTTTATAAAGCAGTGAGGAAGGGGCCAAAGAGCTAGTCTGCACCTGGTGGAATATATCCTTTCTTTTCCTCTTGAAAGTGAGTTTGTAAGATATTAATGTCCATTTGCCTTTTGAGATTAGGGACCCAGCTCTCAATCAGCAATGAAAGTTGATAGTTTTCTGCTCTTGTCTATGCTAACATTAAAAAAAAGAATGAAAACTAATCAAAGAGAAAGCAGGAGAGAGATGTCTGTCATTGACAACCACTATCAACAATATGTAATATGGGACCCTTGATTTGGAAGACGCGCAGGTGAGAATAAAAGCAGAAAAAGCATTGGTTTCCTAGGAACGGATCTATTGTTTGTCAACAGAAGAAACGGGGAGCAGTAGTGACATTTACCCAGCGCACAGTACAGAGGTGTTTGTATAAGTATGTGTGTGTGCTCATAGGTAGGATCATCTACTAAGAAGCCTAAAGCACGTTAAAAATATGGATTTAGTTGTGATATTCTTTGGATACTGATCCTTGTGAGTTATGTAAGCTGTTTGTATAAACTGGTTTCTAGTCTCCAATATGCAGCAAAACACTGACAAGTAGGCTGAATTTGTACACTTCTGTAGCTCAGTCTTTTCCACTTCTTATGGAGCATAATATATATTTTAACTAAGGAGTCTCGTGGACTTGAAAAGGCTTTGGGCAGTATTGGAGAGCTTATTTCAGAAAAGATATTTGAGGTGTTTATGTGGCCATTAGCCTTTGGAAGGATGGAGCTACATTGCTCCGTGTTGCATACTGCATATACATGAAAACATGGGAAGATGGAATTTGGAGCTGAGTCCCATTGTCTAAATCCAAGCAAGTGATTCAGTTTTAAATCAGTATCTTATATCAAAAAAAGAACTGCGTGGCAATAAGCAAATCTTAATATAATAATAATAATACCCTTTATTTATATTCTGCCCTTCTCCCCTAAGAGACTCCGAGTGGATTACAGCATTTACATACATAGGCAAACATTCAATGCCTTTACAGTCATAAACAATGAGATATACAAACACAAACAAAGGCAGAGGCTTTTCCTTTCATTCTCGGCTTTTGGTGCTCGTCTCTGGTTCTGGGAAGGTGCATTTCTCCATTTTCAAGCTGAGGAGCCTGCATTATCACCTCCTTGTTGCATGGCCAGCAAAATTTCTTGGAGCATCTCTTGCCTTTTCCTGCCAAAGCAGTACCTATTTATCCACTCACATTTGCATGTTTTCAAACCACTAGGTTGGTAGGAGCTGGAGCTGACAGATGGGAGCTCACCCCATCTTGCCAATTCAAACTGCCAACTTTCAGATCAGCAGTTCAACAGCACAAGGGTTTAATCTATTGCACCACAGAAGCCCCTGGAGTAGAAAAAAGTCAATTGAAAGACCAAACAGGGCAGATAAATTCAGGGTTTGATGATTAGGGTTCCCCTCCCATTGAAGACTCAGGTTCACAGAGATGCTCCTTGAGATCATTTAATAATGCTGGGTGACTTTGTTGGCTTCCATTCTCATATTTATGTAGCAGGCATTTGAGTACACTTAATCCAATTCTTG